ATGCCAAGAGCAAGAGCTAAGATCTAAAAATGCTTAAGGGAATCAGAACCCCCGTATGAACATTTGTGTGCTAAGGAACATGTGAAAACTTGATAGCTAGTAGTTTATACAATAGACACAATTTTAAACATTCGAGCTGTTAGAGTGGTAGTTTATAATGCCAATTTAAAATGTGTTTTAAGTTAAAACCATACTAAATTAATTTTCCACTTTGAAATATTTAAAAGAACCTTAAGTCTACTGATTCATATAATATTTATATTTTTGTATTTATAAAGATTAAATAGCTAGAAAAGACTTTCATCAGTTAGATAATTGAAGGACGTATGACAGGAATAAAATTCATGAAATGTATAAATACTGTATAAAATATTAGAATGCTTTTAATTGTCTAAGTCATGAATGGAGCAAACAGCATTCAGAAGTTTTTCAAAAAGTTATTGCTAAACACTAGGCTGATAAGTAAAATAATAGGATTTGTAAGCTGAACTCTGAAGTTCTTTTAAGAAGTAGGTTTTTGTACTTGGAAATGTAATAAATTGAATATTAGTTGTCTTTTTTATGTACAAACACCATCCTCAACCACACGGACACACCTATCAATAGCCTGTAAGGCCAGCATGTCAAACTCGCGGCTCAGAGTCCTTATTGGGTATCGTTGGGATTAATCATGTAAAATTAACTAGCTGGTCACCTACTGAGCCGAGGAAACCTGTGCTCTGGCTGCAGCAAAGATGGTCTTCAGGTTTTTGGAGGAAATTGATATTTGATATTTAAAAAATAGTCTTCATGAAAAAACACACCCTAAATTCACGGTCTGGACTTATTTTTAATTTTGAGGTATGTGTTTGAGGGAAATAACATAATCTTCTCAGGGCCTAGGACCTCAAAATGTCCTTGCAAAATCACCTCTGAAATAAGCAGAAAAATCAGATACAGAGAACAAACTGATCGTCTCCAGATGGGAGGGGGTTGGGGGCTGGGTGGAAAAGGTGAAGGAATTAAGAAATACAAATTACCAGTTATGAAAATAGTCACAGGGATGTAAAATACAGCACGGGGAATATAGCCAATAACATTGTAATAACTATGTGTGGTGTCAGATGGGCACCAGAATGATCAGGGTGATCACTTTGTAAGTTACATAATGTCTAATCATGGGGTTGCACACCTGAAACTAATATAATATTGTATGTCAATGGTAATTGAAAAATATTTTCTTAAAGGGAATTCTGAGCCATGCTACAACATGGATGTTATGCTCAGGGAAATAAGGCAAATAGTGTATGATTCCACTTACAGGAAGTGCCTAAAGCAATCACACTTACAGACACAAAGTAGAGTGGCAGCTGCCAGGAGGCGGGCGCGGGGGGGGGGCGGGGGGGGTGGGGGATGTTTAGGACACAATTTCTGTTTTGTAAGAGGAAAGAGGTCCCACCATCTGGGGATGGATGGTAGTGATGGTTGCACAACAATGTGAATGTCCGTAATGCCACTGAGCTGTGCACTTCAAAAACAGTTAAGATGTTAAATTTTGTTACGTGTATTTACCACAGTAAAAAACCTTAAAAAAAGGCTAGCAGCAAAACCCTGCAGGCTAACAGTGCAGTGGCCCACTCCAGACTGAAATGACAGAGCCGGACCTCTGCTGCCACCTGTTGGTGACAGGGAGAGTTTCCCAGGGCCACTGCGGTGGAGAAACAATATGTAATTATATATGTGTTTTCCCATGGTCTTAGGCGACCCCTGTGAAAGGGTCCTTCGACCTCCAAAGGGGTCGCGACCCACAGGTTGAGAACTGCTGCTCTAGTGCTTCTCTCCACCTGCCACGTTAGGTTTTGCTCACTGTTCATGATTTTTGTATCCATCTGCAGACGAAGGAAAATCAGTTCGCTAGAGCAGAGGGAGGAACAGCATGTGTGGATGCTCTGGGAATGCAAGGCACTGGTGCTCAGGCAGTGACAGGACATGTCGCCATGGGATAGGAGCGGCCATGGTGGGAAACACGGTCAGATTTATTTCAAGAAAAGAATCGCAGTGTTTTACTTGCTTATTTTTCTCTTGTCTGTCACCACTAAAATGGAAGCTCCAAAAGGCAGAGATTTCTGTAGGTTTTGTTCACTGCTGTGGCAGATGCAGCTGTCCAATCTCCCTTCCTTCCTGTTAGTCACAGAGCCCCACTGGGCAGTAGCTGGGTGTGCATTGCCAACTAGAGAGTACACTTCCCAGCCTCTCTTGCAGCTACATGAAGCTATGCATCTAGGCAATTGCCAATAAGTTGTGAATAAAAGTTCTTCTTTAACTTCCAGGTCTTGCCTTAAAATGGTTGTCACCTTCCTGCAGGTTAGAGACAGACATGGTGAGGATGAGCCTTGTGAGGATGATGCCTCAGAGAATGGCCAAGCCACAAAACAGGAGGAGCCTGAGTTTTTGATGCCATGCAGACAGAGCCACCCACCAGGCCCCCGCCTGCCCATCTCTGCACAGCCAACGGAAGAGGAATAAATGCCCATCTTATTTTGGGGTCTCTTTGGCATAGCCTCTGTTATAAAATGCATTGTCTTCCAAACTTTATATGTTGGAGCCCTAACTCCTAACGTGACTGTATTTGGAGCTAGGGCTTCTAAGAGGGTCATCAAGGTCAAACGAGGTCATAAGGGTGGAGCCCTAATCAAAAAGGATGGGGGTCCTTATAAGAGGAAGAGACCAGATCTCTCTCTCTCTCTCCCTCCCCCTCTCTCTCTCTCCACACTGGGGAAAGCCCATGTGGGGACACAGCAAGAACAAGAAGAGGGCTGTCTACAAAGGAGGAAGAGGAGCCTCACCAGAAACCAGCCCTAGTAGCACCTTGATCCTGCACTTCTAGCCTATGAGGAAATATATTTCTGTAACCCAAGCCACCCAATCTGTGGCATTTTGACATGGCAGCCCTAAAGGACAGCCTCTTGGTCTGTACCCTGATACACTGCTGAACCTCCAGTGTCCAGAACAGAGCTTGGAAATTAGCAGAGATGCAATGAATATTCTTTGGATCGATGAATAAATGAGTAAAATAGAAAGACGGTATTTAATGTGCGCAGTGACATAAAAATGTAAGATTAATGGATTTCAGCAGATTGTATCTGTCCATTCACCCACCCAGTCACCTTCCCATCACCCTGTTTCTATCTGGAAGCAAAGGGGAACCTCATCTTGTCCTCATGCCAGTCAGCGCCTTCTCTCCCACAGCCCACCCTGCACCTAACCAGTCAGTGCTTGTTCATTCTACCACCGACATCACTGTAATTATTGAGCATTGCAATGGCCACAGCTCTAGCCCAGGCTCCGTGATCTCTTCTTACTTTGATAACTGCTTCCAAACCTTCACTCCTCAGTCTCTGTACCTGGCCCTGGTGCAGAGACTTCTATTTGCCTCTTTCCAACCCATGTGCCTTCTTTCCTAGGAACAGACTCCTCGTTTCCTGCAGTGACAGTGCTCTCTGTGCAACTGCCCTATTTCCCCGTGCCCCGCAGCCCAGGTGCAGCCAGAGGGCGCAATCCCGGCTGACAGGTACAACCAGAATCTGTGGGTGAGGTTTCTGGAAATCCTCTTACAAAGAAGGACAGAGGTCTGGGACCAGGCCACCTCTTACACACCCACCGTTCCTTTTTCCTTATTGCCTGGGATTTGGGAGCGACTGCTGGAGCTCTAGCAGCCACACTGAAATGTGTAAAATTGAGAAGTACACAGAGAATGAAACTCCATCCCTGATGATTTTGTGGAACTGCCACACCCCAGGTTGCCTCTCTCCAGGTTTAATTGACACATCCGTGAAACACACCTTCCAGCATGTAAGCCGCTGCAGGCAGGCTCTGTGATTAGCAGCTGAACACCGCTTCTAACTGGCCCCAAACCCATGCCTTCTCTGCTGTCAGCTTAACCTTGCCGATCAGGCCCATTCTGAGGGCTGCTCCTGGCTCAGAGGGGCTTCAGCAAACACCCAGTCCTGCAGGGCAGCGGGGAGGACTATCAACAGCCTCATTTCACAGGTGAAGAAACCAAGGCTCGAGATCATGCCGTCAGCAGATGTCAGGGGAGGGACGAGAAGCAAGGTTCAGATGATGCTGGTGAATGACGGGGATGGGACTGGACTGTGGTGTGAGCTATGGGACTTGGGAGACTTTACACTTGCACGTGTGTGCGTGCATACAAATGCTCACAACATGCACATGTGTGTGCATAAAACACACACAATTGGAATCTAGAGTGGACACCTGCTGCTTTTGCCTGTCTTCATACCATTTGCCCTTTTCTGATAACAAAACTCTTCTGTTCTGGGAACTGTCCCTGTCCCAACTGAAGCTGTCAATCACTGGACACATGATCCCAATGGGCACGTGGTCCCCGCCTCCACTGGACAATGTGAGGGCTCCAGAAGTGGCCTTGTGACTGACTCATTCAGTCAGGGCTCTTCAGGGACTGCCCCTTATTCGCCGTCTGTGACTGAGGGCCTATTTGCATCTCGAAGACTCTGTCTCCTTCTCGATGTAATGACGAAAATTTATTAACTGTTCTCCTGGGTAGTCGTGGGAATGAGCTAACACAATTCAATAAAGGGCCTGGTATATGGTGAATGTCCACTTGCTATTAGACTTCTTTGGAAAGCTCTCATTTCTATAGACACCATTAGTCTGTAGTGTAGAACTTACTGTTAAAAAAATGGACAGGTAAGCTCCCAATCCCACTTAAATCTGGGCCATTAGTTCATTTGTTCTCTGTCACACAGATAAGAGGTTTATACCTCTGATATTTGGAAGAATCACTTCCACTGATTTGAGTGATAAAAAGACAGACTTGGGGACAGTCCCCATCCCTTATCTGTCTCTAAAATAGCAACTGTAATTGCTGAGATTAGGAACTGCATTTCTTCTCAATCTGGCAATCTTAAAAACTAGAGACATTTTCATTCCCACTTGAACGAGAGTCCAGAAACCACGTGGAACACAACTGCTTGGTCGTGGTCATGGTATTTATTCATAGTATATTTTTGCAATGTGTTAACAGTGGAGAACAGCACATATTCATACACTGAGTATACCCTCTCCTGGCGCGCTCTGGAGTTCCGGGGCTTGGAGAACACTGCCAGGCTTTTCTTCATCTCTTTGGTTTGTGGAAGTGGCAGGGTCTGCCAGTGGGTGTTGGCAATGACTTCCCTCCGGTCAGGTTGGAAGGCAGGAGGACCATGGCTTTGGCACTTCCTTTTGGAAAGATGTAGCAGAGTGGGGTGATGGACGATCAGAAAGACGGGGAACCTGGTACTCCACAGTTCATGTCTTGTCACAAATGACGATCGCTGCAGCAGCCACGGACACTGGCAGGGTCTCGGGCTCACGGCCGGAGGAGAAGGCATGTCGCCAATGTTTTCATGCAAAAGGCAATGACTAAGCACCTGGCTCTGAACTTCCGGGTACTCTGGCGGTGCTGAAGGCCAGCCGTCCTATGTATGCATCCTCATCTCGCAACTGGTAAACTTGGACGTCATTTCAGAAAGTCTTAGCAAAATGCTGAGAGGACCTCTCTTTCTCAAGGTCCCTGGAATGACACTACTTGTGGGGCCCTCCGTTTCACACGGAGGGACTGAGGCACCATGAACTGAAGCAAAACATATTAATAACAACAACAATAAAAAGAACAGAGTACAACTCTCTTCCAAGAAAGACATGTCCGAAAACAGGGGTAAACAGCTGGTCTCATTCTAGCCAACTGGTTCCGTCCATTGGACAATGTCCTTCGGTTCCTCCCTTATTAAATGTGTTTACATTTCTGAGTCTGAAGATCACTTAAATAATACAATAGTAGCACCAAGGCAGCAATTTTGTTCCCAGAGTTCACGTGAAACTGAATAGATACTTAACGTAATTCATAGCTGGTACAATCTGTGACCACTAAATTCCTTACGGGCTAATGATGCTTTCATAGAAATGGCAAATACTGCTGTAGCACCTTGATGATAGCTAGATTGTTTTAAAAAACAAATTACAATTTTTTAAAAAAATGAGCAATAAAAAGATTTACATATAGAAAGTAAACAATAGTGTACCGTGATAATGAAGGATCACTTTTGTCATAATACTACATATAATGTAGAGTACGTAAAATGCAGTGGTCTGACTGCAAGGAACAAAATATTGCAAAAGGCAGTCATAATAGAATCATTTTACGTACAAAAATATTACATCACAATAAATAATTTCAAACATAAATATTAAACTTTACATCATTAGGACATTCCACAAATATACACACCCATATCCGGAGATGTGTGTGTGTATATAGGTTTATATATGCATATGTATATGTACACACACACACAAGCATACAAGTCCACACACACACACACACACACACACACGCACGCGCACACACATACACACGCCCAGATTTTAGGTGGAGGTATTGCATTACTATCCTTCATCCATCCATCACGGCTTCCTCTTCAGGGCACCTGGAAACAGATGAGCCACCAAGAAAGGTCAATCTTCTGTCTCAAAGGTCACAAGTCAAGCGTAGGCAATGCATACATTTTTTCATGTAGAATGAACAATCACACGTTGTTCTCTTAGATTTTACAAGTAAAGGATGTTTGCTATAAGAAACCTGTAGATTTCAGGGGAGCATAAAGAATAACAAGTCACTAGCTAGAAATTCCCACCCGAGATAACGTTCTTCTCATACTGGTATATTTCCTTCCAGGCTTTTTCGTATATGTACATGTAAATATTATGTAAAACACACGCAAACATTTATTTACCATATGTAAAATATATAAATACACATATAATGGGGATCTCTAGTGGATACTTGCTGACTTTGCTGCCTTCATCCCATCTCCCCATTTCTGATAACAAACCCCTTGTGCGTTGGGAACTATGTCTCTTCCAAATGAAGCTGTCAATCACCCGACTCTAGGTGGGTACATGATCTCCATTTCCTGGACATTGTGATTGGTTCAGAAGTGGCCATGTGACCCGACCAGAGCCAGAGTTCCTGTGCAGAATGGATGCTGGAGATGAGCATTTACTTGGGACCATGAGCTGTGAGGGTGGTGTGAGCCGAGAGCTGCCGGGGGCCATGGTGGGGGGAGATGACCCGCCTGAGAATGAAGCCGTTTAAGAGACAAGCACTGCTGACTGATGGAGAGAGAACGAGTCCGGATGACTCCGTTTGAGCCTCTGGATCCAGCCATGCCTGAAGCCAGCCCACTGCTTGAATGGCTGAGTTATTTAAGACAGTAAGTTTCCTTTTGGTCTTTTGCCTCTTGCAAAGGAAATAATCCTAACTTGAGACCATAATTTTGAATTTAGATGTTTAATTGAACCTTGAAATACTGCTTTATAAGTGACAACTAGGTTCTCCTAAGAGCTTCCCAGGATCATGGGCTGCTGGAAACTGGACGGCAATTAGTGGGAGGTCATATGAGTGGGTTGAGTTCTTCCCTTGTGGCTGAGGGCACTGGGGCAAGAAAAAGCGGGACCAATCCGCCCTCTTCCCGGCAGAGAAGGCAGTTGTCGGCATACTGTGGTTAGACCAGGGATTGCCAAGCTTCAGCAAGCACGACTCTCCTAGGGATGCAGATTCTGGTTTCACGGGCCTAAGGGGAGGCCTGGGGTTCTGCATGTTTAACAAGCTCCCAATTGCACCCCAAGTGTGTGCCACAGTGCAGTCAGGAGGGCAGGGGCTCTGGGAGGACACGCCCGGGCTCTGCCAAGGGGACTCACTGTGCCCACAGGCCAACTGCCTACTGTGTGGGCCGCGGCTCCCATCTGTGAAACGAGGGTCACAGCCCCACGTGTGGCTTTCTTGTGAGGATTCCATGAAATGATGCCTGCAAAGTGCTGAGCGTGGTGCCGGGCACACAGTCAGGGCGCAGTGAACACCCTAAGTATTATTATTACAACACTCCAGGAAGCATTCGCAAAGTTGAGTCACCGACACCAGAATTCTTTGTCCTAACAATACAGATTCCTGCATCTACCAGAGACCCACTGAGGCAGGACCTGCTGAGACGGAGCCCAGTAGCAGCATTTAACCGGCTCTGCAGCCAAAGCTGACGCAGGAAGCCTCAGACCCCAGGGTGGAGGGCAGATGAGCAGGGGAGGAAAAGGCAGGACAGTCCCCCGACTGGGGGCAACGGGCCTGGCCACATTTGTTACTCATCAGGCTGCGGAAAGAATGAGGTAAGTAGATAGACAGATAGACAGACAGACAGACAGACAGACAGAACTGACTTACCTTAACTATAAAATCTGAACCTCCAGGCCAGTGCCCGAGGACGGAGTGCATTTCCCACAGTAACCGCCGCATGTCCCCACGACTCGGGTGCCATCCTGCAAGGAGACGCATGACATTAGACTACTCGCGTGGCTGGCGTTTCCAGCGCTTGCCCTGGCTCTGCAGGCAATCGCTCCTGTGCACCCAGGGGGCGGGCCTTCTGAAAGGCAGCGAGGCCTGTCCCTCACCGTGAGGCGAAGCAGGTTGACGGCCGTGGGCGCAGGGCAGCCTGCCACCCACCTCCAGATGGCCCACAGGTCAACAACAGTGTTGACGTTTTAATTTAATTTTTTTATTTATTAATTTGGAGAGAGAGGAAGGGGGAGACACACAGAGAGAAACATTGATTTGTTGTTCCACTTATTGATGCATTCATTGCTTGCTTCTTGTATGTGCCCTGACCAGGGATCGAACCCACAACCTTGGCGCATCAGAATGATGCTCTAACCAACTGAGCTACCGGCCAGGGCATGTGTACATTTTTAAACAGTTTAGAAGAAGCAAATAATAATAATAATAATTATAATAATACTTCTTGACAGGTGAAAATTTTATAAAATTCAAGTTTCACTGCCCATAAAGTTTGATTGAAACGTAGCCTTGTTCATTCACTCCATGACTCCAGGGTTGAGTAGCTGGGACAGCTTTCTTGCTCTATATTGCTACTCTGCACACTGCCAATCACAGGGCCACCTCTTCGGTCGACGGTGCTTTGAGTACCAGGCATATCCTATATCATAACATTCTGCTTTATTTTTTTTATTACTAGTGTCAAAACAAGAAGGAAAAAGTAGACTCTGGATGCTACACTTTTGAGGTACAGTGCTGGGTGGATTATCACATTATCAAATTGAGAGGGCAAAGCCTGGGCGTTATCACACAATGACATCACAGCTGCGTGAGGAGAAACACTCTAAACCAGCGGTCGTAACCTTCCGGACCTCACAGACCAACAGTGTTCTGCGGACCATGGGTTGGCGGCCGCGGCTAAACCTGTTACCAAACTCGGCCTTCATCACAATGTTCCCAACTCACGGGAGAGCAAGGCCCTAAGTTCAGAATGTTTAAAAAGGAGTATCTCACCGAAGCATAATTTCTTTGTAAAAATAAAAAATGCAATGAGTAAATAAGTTTCAAAGTCGCTCATTTGTTAGCCAAGAATGGAAACAGTTTACCCATGAAATCTCGTTCTATTGCAATAGCCAAAGAAATATGTCCAGAGAAAATAAACCCGTCCTTAGCAGAGAAAGTTTTCCAACCCTTGATCTAGAGCAGGGGTGGGGAACCTTTTCTCTGCCCGGGCCATTTGCATAGTTATAACCTCATTCACAGGCCATACAAAATTATCAACTTAAAATTCAGCCTGCTACATTTGGTCAAACATTTAATTAACGCACCCCCTAATGCCTTGGCAGGGCCAGACCCAATGATTTTGTGGGGCCTACATGGCCCGCGGGCCGGACGTTCCCCACCCTTGACCTAAAGTCCTGGGTGTTCACTCCAGATACCATCACTTCCCTCTCCCCTGCCCTGCTCCCGGAATTTCTTTGGGCTGCCTATCTGATGTGCTCTGTACACTGGGCCTGTGCACATGTCGCTCCTCTACCTGGAGCTCGCTCTCCTCCTTGCCCTCTGCATGCACTGGGTCAGCCCAACTTTCGACTGGTAAGTCCTTCAGGACCCAGCCCAGGGTCCATGCCTTCCTGACCCAGTGACTGCTACACAGCAGCCTGTAAAGATAGGCAGTTCTTCAGGTGAGCCCCGGGCTGGCAAGGCAATGTTAGCTTAGGATTCAAGGCTCGGCTCTCCAGAACCTAGCACAGCATACGGGGTGGGCAAACGCATGTTTGCAGGGGTACATATGGAAAATAATAAACAGCAATACAAAAAAATATAAAAATAAGTGTGCTTCACACACTCACACTGAACCTGCGTCTCCCCCACCCTGTGATACGAAATACGCATCTGTTGAATGAATGAATGAATGAATGAGGCTGAGGCACACTCTGCTTTTTGACCTGGGATCCAGATCACTCTGCTAGTTAGTTCTCCTAACGCTTCACCATGTGAGGAAGAACTTGTTTAACTGGCATCTCCCCCACTGTGGAAATTCACCGAGTCGTGCTACCCCCCACCCCTCCACTCTGCACAGTGTTTGGCATCTTAGATGTTTCCCGTATGCCATCCACTATTGGGAGTAACACTGTGATGGGCCATTGTGTGCCTGCATTTGGGCTACATTCCCAGAACTGGGTCAAAGGCCATGAATATTTGGTTCTTATGGCCAAATTAGGAAAGTCTCTTGCAAATAAGGCTACTCTTATTAGACATAGAACTTGGCCAATTTAACAAATAAAGAGAACAAGTTAGGTTCTCTCTCTCTCACATGTGCATGCCTTGGAGTATGAGTGAGATGAGTTGGGGGTTTCTATCACCCCGATGGCCCTGGTTTTCAGGCCCATGTGAGTTCTGGAGCGAGTCTGACGCCAGCAACTGGATCTGAAGACAGACCAAGCTTCTGCCAGGAACCTTCGCCCAGGCTGGGAATTGGTCTGGTGATCGTAGGATGCCAACATGCTAGAACGCCTCTGTCTCCTCAAAGCTTGAGCTTCACCTAAACTCTCTCCTGACCCAGCAGAGAGAGGACCGGCCTGCGGCGTGGGGCAGGTGCTGCATCTTTAAGTAACTGTAAGCCGGGGCGCCTGGAAATGGGGGTGATATCAGTCTCTCCTGACAGGTTTGCTGTAAGTCAATGAAGGCATATACAGTGCTTGGCCTAGTACTTAACCTAATATTTGTGGAATATTCGCTGTCTGTTTCCTGAGGGTGTATTTCCTCTGTGCATCTCCATCATTGCCTGTTGTCATGGAGACGAGGAAAGGCTGGTATTTGTAAAACCGTTGATAATGACTTTGCAACTGTCATATTATTTCATTAATTGGGACTCAGCTAATGTGATTTAGATAAAAACTAACCCCAAACTTATTTTTATTACAAAACAACAGCAACAACAAAACGTACTGGGGAAATGCGTAGCATAAAGTTGCCATGGAAACAGTGCCTATTTCTGAGAAAAGGGTCTGTTTTCCAGCATTTTAGAAGCACCCACTCCCCTACAACAGATCAGTAATTGTAAATTGTTTTTAGTTCTTCACTAGAGCAAATGGAGCTTTCTAGAAATAAGCCCTATGACTTCAACGAACATGTGGTTAGCCGGCCTGTTTGAGCTCTTACATATATGAAGATGAATGACTCTCTGCACCATTAAGGATGGTTTCTATTTCATACTTTCCCCACTTCTCTGTTTCCTCAGTCAATCTGAGAGGGGAGGTCTCCCGGTGCCTCAGCCAAGCCAGCACGTCTGGGCCTGGAGTGAGCGCATTTACCTTTCTTTGGCGTGTGCTGGTGGTGAAACTGCCCATAAAACATGGCATGTGGATGTACATACACTTTCAATCCGGCTCCAGAGAGTCGCATACATATGAGTATCTGTAGAAGTGTGCCTGATTTCTACAGGGATGCACAGGCATGTAAGGTGATTTCACTACACTGTCTGCAGTGTGACCTCTACACGTGGTGGACAGCTGGGTTCTCAGAAGGAATCGCGGGTGGGAGGCAGCCCACGGTAGAGAAAGGAGACCTGCTTCTGTCCCACAAACACACATTTACCTCCTGCTACCTTCACGCCACTGGCTGTAAGTGAGGTGGACAGGCACCGAGTCTATCTCCTCTACGGCAGCACAACCTTCACTCATTTTACATTTCAGAGAGATTCTTCTATTACAGCTCTTCCTCTACCCTCCTCCCCCGCAACCACACAGGATTGTCAGCGAGGCCCTGGGGCCAGGCCGGAGGTCTCAGAACACAGGCCTCCAGCCCCCTCGTCCCCAGGCGCACACAGAGGGGGTGCCTCTCCCATGCAGCCCGACAGGACCTCCTTTCCTTCTCCCTCTGCTCTCAGCTCTGGGCCACACACCCCTTTCTGTCTGTCTGTCCCTCACACACAAGCAGAGTAGAAACGCATTAGCACCTGAGCCACGCAGGTGCAGAGAAAACCTTTGCCTAGAGGCCGGTCCCTGGGCCAAGGGGCTGTCCCACCTGCCTCACTCCTGGGTGGGTTGGGGTCCCATGTGGACAAAATCCACGTGGTGCTGTGGGTACCAGCGGGCCCAGGCTCAGCCTTGGCTCAGCCTGCAGTCCCCTGGCCTTCCACATTCATCTCAAGGAAGCCTGCTTCCTTCGCCACCTCCACCAGCTCCTAAAAACTGTGGCCAGCCTCAGGGCTAAGAAAATGTTGGAACAGTAATCCTATATAATAAAAGGCTAATATGCAAATCGGCTGAACAACTGGTCGCTATGATGCGCACTGACCACCAGGAGGCAGACGCTCAATGCAGGAGCTGCCCCCTGGTGTCAGTGCACTCCCACAGGGGGAGCACTGCTCTGCCAGAAGCCAGGCCCACAGCTGGTGAGCGATCTACACCCCCCCCCCCCACATTGTTGGAATGTCCATTTGGGCCTCCCCAGCCAGCCCCGGAGGTGGTGCAGACGCAGGCACGGGTCTGAGAACCACTGATGTAGGGGACCGCTAGTTAGAATAAAGTCACAGCTTTCCACCCTGTGTACTGTAGTCCCACCTCTCGTGCCCCATGCTTGCTGTGATGCTTTGAGAAGCAAAGAAAATACAAGTTTTCTTCCAAGTGCCTTTGGCTTCCAAGTGCCTTTGGCTGCTGGAGCATCCCTGGGATCAGGCATGGGATCATGCAGGAAAAGAGGTGTTTCCAGGGGCTGCCTGCAGTGAGCGATGGCTCAGTCTGGCTCCAGGGGAGGCATAAGGAATGCCCCACAGGCCCTGGCGGTTATTTTGAGCTCAGGCTCTCTGAACTGTCCTGGAACATCAAGATTTAAAAAGAAAATGCTGACAGGCAACTGTGGAACCCATTCCCTCCTGCACAGGGGACACCACGCCCAAAGCTGGGGGAGCAGCAGGGGATCTTGTCCGGTAGTAATCATTGTTTCCACAAGGTGGCGCTCCCGGCTGTAATTATTTTCAGTTTCGTGAATAAAACTGCAATATTGACTTTGGCTGCCAAACAGAATTGAAACTTGTAACACAGTTTACATAGATGGTTTCCTACATAATGATGTTTCATGTCTGACCATGTTTTGGGCAGTTAATTAGTTTTTTGTTCCTCTGGGTCGTTGAAACATAATAATATGTAGGCCCTGGAGGGCAGGGCACATCCTAAAGCACGCGTGTGCTGCTCTAGGCTCTCTCCATCCCTTCAGTGCAATGATTGATTTATGAGCAATCAATCTAATTAGAGGTAGTTGATTGGCTGAGACAAGAGGGAGTGAGACCATTTGTTGTTGTTTTTTCATAGACAGAAATATAACTCTGGCAGCTTAAAACAAGGGAACCGGGAAACTGAGATTTTCCTGGGAAGTCACAAAGGGGTGATTCTGCCTTTCCCAAGGGGAAGCAGATTGAGCTGCTCCTTTATATTCTGATTTGACAGGATTAGCAACTAAAATACAGGATGCCCAAGCAGAGGTGAATTTCAGATCAACAACAGATACTTTCTACAATAAATATGCCGCATGTGATGCTGAAGACAGTAATAAAAAAAGGGTTCCTTGTTTATTTAAAAATCTAATTTTAATACTGGGCCTCCCGTATTCTGTCTGGCAGCTCTCCTTTGGAATAACACCTCATTTCCAAATCTCTTCCCCCCTCCCCTCCTCACAGTCCCGAGGGGCCTTGGGACAGGGGTCATGTCTGGGGTCAGCCCGGGGCCATGGGCCGTCCTCTGTAAGTTCCCCACGTGTCCCGGGCGGGTTCCTGCCGCAGGTTCACAGGGCTTCTGAGGGAGCTGGGAAGGGCAGTGAACATTAGCATCACCCGGGAACTTCACATTCTACCTCTGCTTCAGGGATGCCCCTCCCGTGACAAGCGGGGCCAGGGCACGTGCATGTTAAGCTCTCCCAGGTGATTCTAATGGACACCCAGGCCGGGTCAGGGCGTCTCAAGCTGTAGCATTAGCACCACCTGGCAACTTCCTCCAGCGCAGACGCTCAGAGCCTGCGCCCCGAATCTGCATCCAGCTCCCCGGTGATCCCGATGCTCTAGCCACAGGGACACACCTTGAGGCCGAGGTTTGAGCATGAAAAACTGACTACTGTAGAACCCATGCGTGTTTCCCCAACTCTCCACAAATTTCACCCAAGTTAACCTTTTCTCCAGCCCTGTTTGTATTTCGATTTTTCTTAACCATCCTCTCCCCTAAGTTCATAAAAGGGTCTCTCACGTCGGCTAATTGCAAGGCGCCCGGTGCTCACACTCCCCGGGTGGCTTCTTCCTGCTCCCGCCTCCTGGCCGCACCGACTACCACCTGCATGTCCCGCTCACATCTCCACGGAGAACGCTCGCCGACACTCTCCTCACCTGTGACTTATTTCCTTAGTTTTCTGACACTTTGCAAAATGGTTTGTGGAGGACAGCACATGCGTACACCGCAGAGGGCAGGGGTAGGAAGGGAGGGGAGAGGGAAGAGAGAGACACCACGCCCGCCCTCGGCTCAGCGGCCCCCTTACCGGCGACTTCTTAATGTTGGAGACGGCATAGTTCCCCTGCGAGATCCATCTGGCGGACTCGGTTAAAGAGAGGCCTGTTCCGTAAAGGTTGATGCTGAAACGACCCTGGAAAACGGCCAACGAGAAGGATTGTTAGTCCACGTGACGTCCCAAGCAAAGGCCGCGCAAAGGGAGCTTGGAAAGGAGGCGGGTGGTAATTCATAACGAGTGACTCATGAGGATGGGTTTCTTTTTTGGGGGGAGGGGAAGTAGGTCTGGGCCAGACACTTTACAAGCATCGTCTCATCCATCATCGGGAGAGCTCTAGGAAAGGCGTTTTCTCCGCAGATGGGGAAACTGAGGCCCAGCAGAGCGCTTGGCTTCAGGATGCAGTGCAACCCCCATTTTCCTGACTTCAAAGTCTTTGCTCTCAGCTAACGCAGCAACCCCGATGTTGCCCATAATTATCAGATTCCTTCGGGAACAAAATGCCACAACCTAATTTTTCTAACAAGATCTCCCTGCCAAAGCTTCCTGGGCTTGGGCTCCCCGCGCAGAGCACTGGGTACTGAGCACAGCAGGGCGGGACTTCAAAGGAGCGGCGCGGTCTCCGGGACGGCCAGCAGAGGGCGCGCTCGGCCTGCTCCCGCTCCCAGACCCCTCTGGCCCAGGGAGCACCGTCCCCGGCCCCCCACCACCCCACCCCTCCCCCCCTGGGTTAGGGGCGCTGGGGGGCCCCAAGGGGAAAAGGGCCTAGGGCTGTTTCCTCTTTTTCTTCTCAAAAGGAGGGGGAAGAGAGAGTGGTTGATTTGTTCCCATGGTCTGTCTCTGACCCCTTCCTCTCTCTCTCAAAAACGGCTTCGCAGAGGCACCTGAAATAGTTTCTTCTAGAGCAGTGGTTCTCAACCTTCCTAATGCCGAGACCCTTTAATACAGTTCCTCATGTTGGGGTGACTCCCAACCATAAAATTATTTTCGTTGCTACTTCATAACTATGTTGCTACTGTTATGAATCGTAATGTAAATATCTGATATGCAGGATGTGTTTAGGCGACCCTTGTGAAAGGGTCATTCGACCCCCAAAGGGTTGAGAACCGCTGTTCTAGAGGTTTACTCCCCACGAGCAGTTCCCTAATGAAAACGATCCGCATGACAGGCTCAGGGCGAACGCTTTCTTCCTGAGCCATACCACCCAGTCCTTTGTCAAAAGCCTTAACGCAAGGAGGGGAGAGCTGGGGGCCCCATCAGCCCTGAGTGTAAATTCAGCTCTTTTTTAGGGCAATGAGATCCTGACACATTTTTTTCAGCCCCTGGGGCCCTCGGCTTGTCTGTCTGCAAGTGGAGGTAATGGTCCTGTTTTCTGGGGTCCGTGAGCGAGCTAAGCTGAGCTGCAGCGCTGTGGGGGTGCTCGCTTCCCGGACAGGGGTTTCCAAGTCCAGGCTGCATGAGGCTCAGTAACTTCCTGGTTCACAAATTAACGTTATCTGATCTAACCTGTGAATAAGAGGGGTTAGAAGGTAACTCATTATCTGGCAGCGTAGCTGAAATCTTCAAATGTGCCCTGGGATTATTCTGTGACAGCCCCTAGGGTTGGTGGTGGTCAATCTGAGTGTCCCTGAGTGGCTGTGCCGAGGCAAAGCCGCCCTTGTGGTCCTCAGACACTGGCTTCTGCCGGCTGGATTACCCCAGGCCACTTGTCTTCTGTCATCCCTGCCCCAGGACTGGTACACAGCCCCTCTCATGCCCAGACCACACCGTTCCCGGGGACCCCTTTCATTTCTCCCTCTCCATCCTGCTTCCCAGGCACCGGCCTATCCCACCTGCACTGCAGAAGGTAGACTTGATCTGCTCAGCACCCCCAGACCTGGTATCCAGGGTCTGAGCTGCCCCTCTGAGCAGGTGAGCAGGTGACACACCTGAATGGAACATGCCCCCCTGCTCGCTCCTCCTTTTCCGGTTCAGGGATTTGATTGGCAGCAAGTGTCCCAGCTCTAAAGCTGAGGACAGCCAGGGGGGAGAGACCTCTGTCCTATCTCACCCTAGTCAGGGGCATCCTTGTCCCAAGGCCTATCTTCAGGGTCGAAAGGGCAGGAGAGTTTTAGCTACTCCCTCTGTTGCTGGTTTAAAAGAGAAACAGTAATGAAGAGCCATGCATACACTAGATGGCTCAGAGAGCTTGGCGAAGGATATGCCTCAGGGTTTGCTCTCTGCTCGGAGGAGAGTGAACGCAGCAGAAATCCTGCCTGGAAACAGGATCAGCCAGACAAGCAGGGCTGCCACTTGCACTCCGACACCTGGGAGCAAACCCAGCCTCCACGGCGCACCTGCTGCGTGGGTCTGGACAGGCACCCAGCCGTTCGACACGCCGTGTCCCCACCTGTCAGGAGCGGGTATTCTCATAGGATGCTGTGGGGGTCCAATGCGACGCTGACTTACAAATGCTGAGCACGGGGCCTAGAGCAGTGATGGCGAACCTATGACACGTGTGTCTGAGGTGACACGCGAACTCATTTTTTGGTTGATTTTTCTTTGTTAAATGGCATTTAAACATATAAAATAAATGCCAAAAATATAAGTCTTTGTTTTACTATGGTTGCAAATATCAAAAAATTTCTATATGTGACACGGCACCAGAGTTAAGTTAGGGTTTTTCAAAATGCTGACAGGCCGAGCTCAAAAGGTTCGCCATCACTGGCCTAGAGCCTAGTAAACAACAAATGCTACTAATGCCAGCATCAAAAAGTTAATGATAAGGTGGCATCCACTGGGTTATGATTTAAAATACATACATATTCTGGCATATCCTCAGGTGAGGGCTCTTGGGGACCCCCCCCCAATGATAAGTGAATCCCCAAAGCGGCAGCGATGGATGAGGCAGGAGGAGCAGACTGTCAGAGCACCTCGCTTTGACTTCTGTGCACCCGCCAGGTCAGAGGATAAACCGTCCTGGAGCAGCTCGCACAGCCCTGCTTTCCAGACCTTTCCCGAAAAACCCATTTGAACACTCACGTTGTTCATCTACCTCGCTGGTGCTCAATAAAGGGAAATAATTCGTTAAGTATCCAATATGGTTCGAGGAATGGGCTGGGAAAAAATACAAATCAGCCTCTCCCTGGCTTCCCCTTTGCTCACTTAGCAACTGCTTCAACGTCAGGACTTAGCAAATCAATCCGTTCATTTGTCTCTAAATTAGTAAAATAAATGAATGCGAATTCACTCCAGTTATTTCCCCAAAAGATGCGCATACAGAAAAGAGAGACCCCTGGGACAGCTGACAAAGGCAGGGCGGGCCAGTCTATTCGCTGTTAAAATGCAGCCCGTACAGGGGGTGTTTGAAGTCCCGAACTGCTCTAAAGAAGCTGCACTTCAAACGTTTCCAGGCCTGGGTCATGGAGAAAAGGCCCCTTTCACCATCATGTCCTCTGTTTATGTTCCTTCTCCCCTGAGAGCTTCCTTTTCACTCCTCTGGAACGTTTAGCAATGCGTTCTACAGCTCGGGGCTGAGAAAACACTTCTTAAAGACAATTCAGATGTGTTTGTCTTTGGACGTCCCTGTGGCTGGTGAACATCTACCCTGGGATCCCGAGGCATCCCCCAGCCCCTCCCCCGGCCTGCCAAGGTGCACAGGCAGAGGGGAGATTCCGGCCTCCTGGGAACCAAAGGAAACCCGGCCACGTTCCCCTGCCAATCACCTCGCTCCTTGCCCTGGCTGGTGGTGACAGCCAGGCTGATGTTGCAGAAGGAGAGCTAAACCCTGTGGCACGGGAGAATGGGCAGGAGGCCTGCGGGCAGCGGTGCTGCGAAGCGCCAATGCAGGGGGAAGTGGCACGTGTGCACTCCCCGTCTGAGCTTGGCACGGTTTACACGTCTGAGGTCTGCGACTGCTTCTCTATGTCACGTGACAGTCGGGGTTTGTAATGGTGGACAGTGGCGCATTGGAGGCCTCTTGCACTGGCTGTTGAGAGCTGATTGCATCTCTCCCAGCTCTCCCTTTAGCGACATAATGTCCATGGCTTGAAATCAGTCGTGCGGGTGGAAGGGAGGTATTTGTACCACGGAAATCGGCAAACGCTACAAAGCAGGGCGTTTTTTTTCTTTCTTGGAGAGACAGCCATTAAACATTTACCAGCATGTCACTGACTTCATCACACTCATTTTATTATCATTTGCTTAACCAAGCTGTTTGCTAGCCCACATCTAACTTGTTTCGAAATGCTTACATTGTAAGAGGTGCATTTTGCTGAATGCGGAGGTTTGGCGTGTGGCTGAGATCGTTCCCTTAGGAAACACGCCCGGGAGTGGGATGAGACTAGATGAGAAGCTGTGAGCATTTGAGGGGCTCCTGGTGCAGGGACCAGGCAGCTGTTCTGACTACACTCCCTCAGCCAGGCCCCGGGGACAGGCTCCCCGCACATACCTGCGGGCACTTGGCGGCGCTGTAGCAGTCCCCAGCGGTGGCAAAGGGCACGGGATGCCCTTCGCTGGTCCTCGCAAACTGTAAGTCAGTGGCTGTGGAGTTTGGAGAAGGGTTAAAGGCGGAAGAGAGGTGACAGCGGGAGAAAGAGGCAGGGAAGGGACCGGATGTTAGCAAGGAGAGAGAAGGGAATGAGAACAGTAAAAGAAATAATAAGAGGGAGTGGGAGAGGAAAAAAAAACACACAGTACGATTAGTGAGCAAATGCATCCAGATGCGCTCTGGCTTGTTCCTCGTTGGGGTTCTGAGAGCCTCTCCCTGGGGTTTATGAGCCCTGACTGTCTCCTCACAGCGCGGAAGCCCCCCAAGGGGGTCGAGATGACTGTATGTCATGTGTGAACCGCCTCGCGTAAACAGAGCGACGGGGATGGTGAACCTGCCGTTCACCCGCAGAGGCCTCGGGACCAGGGAAGGAAGTCAGCAAGGCGTTCCCAGGGAGCCGTTCCTCGAGGCTCCCTCTGTCCTCCCGTGGCCCAGGCACTGTGTTATTGCCAAAATGTGGAGCAATGAGAACCCACATCTTGAAAGTATTAATGGCAGTTTCTCAAGTTTGGGGCTAACTTGTAGTTTTTTTTTTAAAAGCCCATAAAACAATGGGCTCATGTTTTTAACTGTCTTGTAGCTCTTGTGACCTGTGAGGGGTCAGGGATCCTGCAAAAGCTGCCGCTGGGGAAACTGGAGGTCAGGGCGGCTCGTTACCTTTCTGCCGTGTCTTTCTGGAATCTTCCTGCAGCTTACCACACTGTGGTGGGAGGGACATCTGAGTGACCCCTCACCCCGGTCCTGCAGGAAAGGGGCCCTGGCAGGAGCCCTGAGCCTTAGATTGGGGGTGTGGGGGAAGGTCCTGAGTGAGAAACTGCAGACTCTGCCATTAGCCTTAATGGTCCACTAAAAGCAATTAGGAATATCTTGGTACCAATCAAGTGCAATCCACCTCAAGAGGAAAGAAGTGCAATATTATGGGTACCTTGTTAATGAGGAAAAATTAATTATTCATCGCTTGTTTTTCCTCTATTCAGGGGACCGTGTTTGGCTGTTTGAGCTGCATTAACCACTCCCATGATTAATGTCCCGAACAAAAATGCAGTGTTGGCCAGAGTATAAAATCAGCCCACGCGCAGGCCGGTTTTAAAAGGTAATTGTGTGGCTCCGTTTATCTTGTGTGAATCAACAATCAGAAGAAGTTAGCTTTATGCCTGTGTGTGTGTACACTGTGTATGGGAGCCATGGCCACCCGGGTCCCCAGTGCCGGCTCACCCCTGCTTGACCTCAAGGCCTCAACTCTGATGTCACTTTTGGGGGTGCTGCTCTGACTCCGCCACTGCAAAGGACCCCTTTAACATGCCTCCATCCCCTCCATCCATTCGTCATCACAGGTCTGAGGGCTCCGCTGTGCCAGGCACCTTCCCAGCGGGGCCAGAGGGGAGCGCCCACCCTCAGGGGCTAGGACAGTGGATCTTGTCCCTTTTGGCATCCTGGGCACCTGGCCCAGCCGCCTGGCTGCCCGAGTGGGGGACTGATGAGCACTCCCACACGACACCCCGAGCTCACTTATGATCTGCATGGTGGCCAGGTCTATCCTGATCTTCTGGAAGCTGGAGAAGCCGGCCGCCGTGTAGTCCTTCCGACACTGGCAGTCGTCGCGCCGGCTCCCGTTGTAGGGGCATTCGGTCGGGTTGTGCAGCCTGCAGGCCAGAGAGAAAGTTCTGGTGAGCGCGGGGGGCGTCCAGGAGCCTGCAGGGCTGGGCTCCTGGAGCCGAGCTCACCTACCTGTGCCCGTACACCTCGGAGAAGTTCTCCGCATCCCCGCGCACCAGGGTCAGGTACTCCTTGGGGTGGTCGGACTGCATCCCTGCACAGAAGATCTGAAAGGCAGACAGAAACCCCCCGGGGCGGCTCAGGAATGGGGCACCGGGGGCGGCCGCTCGCTCCCGATGCCTTAGGAAGAGGACTGCCGCCTCACCTTCAGGAGCTTTCCCTGGACGGTCAGGAAATACTCGCCGTCTTCCGTGGCGCCGCTCAGATGCTTCACCTCCCTGCAGCTCTGGGGTAACTCGCCTGGAAAACATGAGGCGCCAAATGGCCTGAGACGCCCCCGGTGGGCAGGTCTCCTCAGGCTCTTCCGCCAAGGGGACAGTTTCTTTAAAATAAATCGCATTTATCTGAAGGGGCAGGCAAGCAAGTGAACAGGAAACCCTGTTCTCCAGCCCTAGCCGGTTTGGCTCAGTGGATAGAGTGTTGGCCTGCAGGCTGAAGGGTCCCAGGTTCGATTCCAGTCAAAGCACATGCCCGGGTTGTGGGCTCGATCCCCAGCAGGAGGCAGCCAATCAATGATTCTCTCTCATCACTGATGTTTCCATCTCTCTCTCTCCCTCTCCTTCTTCTCTGAAATCAATAAAAATGTATTAAAAACAAAACAAAACACAAAAAACCCTGTTTTTCAGGCTCCAGAGAGGTGGCTTTGCTCGGCCAACTTACAGTTGTAGATATTATGGCAGGTTTTCCTCTCTTCCGGCTTCAGCTCCGCGGGGCAGAGGTGGCTGGGCTGGTCATCATTGGTCAAGCACTGCACGGATCGGTGCTGCACCCCGAGGCCACAGGACACGGAGCACTGCAAGGAGAGCAGGGTCAGTGGCGGGTCAGCACTGTGCACAGGTGTCACTGCAGACCCTCTGCTGCTGAAACACACAGCTGACATATCGAGCACTTACTATGGACTCGTCCCTGCGCTGAGTTTTACTCCTACACGTTTATGCAGGCCTACTACCGACACAGTTCCATATGCATGTGTACATATGATGTAGATATAATTTTACATTCTCACTTAAGTCTTACAGTGACCCTCAGGTAGTAATTCCATTACTCTGTCTGTACAGAGCAGAGATTAGGGCTCCCATGTTAAATTTGTTCCAGGTCCTGGCTCCACCAGGATTCATATGCTAACCACTTCCAGCGACTCCTAGACATTTTCCCAATCACTGCGACCCTGAGCAATCAGGATATGTCAGTCCAGGGGAGTTACCCCAGAACTGCAGGGAGCTGGGGGCTGCGGTGATTTCTCAGGGCAGCTCCAGTGTAAAATATTCTCGCTTGGCCGGCCAGTGTGGCTCAGTGGTTGAGTGTCAACCTGTGAACCAGGATCTCACAGTTCCAACCAGTCCTGCACATGCCCGGGCTGCAGGCTCGATCCCCAGTGGGGGGTGTGGCCGATCAATGATTCTCTCTCATCACTGATGTTTCTCTCTCCCTCTCTGAAGTCGATAAAAATATATTCTAAAAAATAAAATAAAAATTCTCCCTTATACTCCTTACACAACAGGACTAGTTCCCGATGCAGGACTAGACCACACAGACTGCTCAGCCACAAAGGGACATGATGAAGTTCTAGGTGCTTTTTAATTTTCAATTGTGGAAACTGTATGCAACTTAAAATGTGTCACTCTGACATAAGTGCTTTTTTGGTATTAACCCTTTCTTCTTCACAACCACCCATGTCACAGGTGAGGCCACTGAGACCCGGAAGTTCTGCCCTTGCCCAAGGTCATTCGACTGGGAAGTGGCCTAAGCGCCCGGCAATCCCACTGCAAGGTGCTCACGGCTGCTTCTCACCAGGTCTCTCCTAGAAGGAGAATGACAGGGCAGGGCAGGCAGGCCATGTGACGGTGGGGTTTCCCATCCCACACTGACTGGATAACGCAACCATCTACTTACGCTGCCCCAGTTGCCCACTCTCCAGGTGGCGGAGACCGGGCACTCCCTCAGGTAGCAGGGGTGGACGCTGGGGGGCTGCGTGCCCGGGCAGTTGGCGGCAGTTTGGTGGCCGTACTCATAGTTCTCCTTCCCGGTGTAAATCTCGCTGCAGGACACCAGCCTTTGCTTGTAGCCCTTCCCGCAGGTCACCGAGCACTGAGGAGAGAGGGGTGGAGGGAGAGGCTGGGGCAGGGCCCAGGGCAGCCACCGCAGACCCCTGCCCTCCGTGCAGCAGCGTCCAGTGTCCCCAGCACAAGGAGACCGGGACCTCCTGCATCTGTGCTCCCACTGCCCCACCGGGTGGCTGGGTGCCTCGAGCACCTTCTGTGGATTTCAAGGGGAGAGGGGGGCCAGGGTGTGGGGGAGCTCCAGCTGTCATTGGTTCATTTACAGCCTCCACAGCCCACACCCCGGCTTTCCCAGACCTTCAGTGACCACATCGGAGACCTGACCGAGGGGGTTGGAGAGAGCCCGAGCCCATCTGGGCTGAGTGTCAAGTCTGAGCACTTAGCCAATGGGGGACCCTGGGACAGGCTTCCTTTCCTGCTCAATGTGGTTTGCTTCTCCATCTGCCCTCCACCTAATTCCCTTCTCTCTTCTCTTCCTGGCTAGATATTATTGACTAACATGTTGCCTTTCTGCTTCTCTGTCTGTCTGTCTGTCTCTCAATCATGCAGTCATTAGCATGCATTAAAAATACCCAGAGGCACAGAAAAGGAGAAGAAACAAGTATCTTACTAGTGTCCCCCTCCATGATGGGACAGCTAATTGGTTATTTATTTTATACGCGGTTCAACCTCCCAGGCGAAGTATTTCATGTATTATTTAAAAATAAATCTGAATGACAATGAATTTCGTTTTGATGATATTTTTAGTCAAAGTCATCAAGTAACTGGCCGTCCCTTGTGACACCTTAGTTCAGGTGGGGTATGAGGACTGAGGCCACAGGCTCTCCGAGGGGGCCAGGGAAAGCCGGGACAGTCCAGCAGCGGCTGGTGTGCGCTGCTTCTCCGGGAGAGGGACCAAAGTGTCATCTTCCGCCCTCTGAAAGCCACAGCCCTGCTCCTTCCTCGCTCCCTGGGCTGCGCTTTAAGCCACGTGGCTTTCCTCCCTGAACTGCCTCCAGGGAGAAGGCTGTCCTTGAAGACCTGCCAGAGGCAGGAGGGGACAGGCCCAGCTGCGGGCACGCACAGCACAGCACAGCACTCCTTCCCGCAGGCTCCGGGCTTGTCCTGCTGCCTACGGTTCTTCCTTCTTTGGCAGCCGCTCTTCAAATGCCAAAGACCCCGCTGACGCCAGCCCGGGGAGTGTGAGGCCAGTCTAGGGAGTTTCACGTGTGGCAGACGGCTGAGGGCTGCCCTGTCCGAGCTGCGGGTTTAGCGTGTACCCAGCGCTTGCGTGCGGTGACCTCAGTGCGCGCGAATCCCAACAGGGCTGAGTGTCTGCCAAGGCGAGTCCTGAGAATCACCCACAGAGCAGCCCGGCCACGGATGGGGGGGGGACACAGTGGCGGACAGGCATCTGCTGATGGAACTGAACCCAAATATGGTAGGGTTTACTCGGAGGCCTCCGCTTCTCTGAAGAGGATCTGGAAGCACACACCCTGCCTCTGGCTCCTGAATGCGTTTCAGAGCAGAGCTCCGAGGGGGGGGGGGGGGAAGGCTCATCCCTGGGGGGGGGGTGGGGGGGGAGGAGGGACCAGCGCAGAGGGGGAGGGCCTACTGTTGATTCTCCCTGCTTTGGGGTCACCTGCTTGTCACGAATGTGGGTTGCTTTTCTAATTCGAAAACAACAGTAAAGTGAAACAATAAGAATGTGGGCTTCTGGCCTCAGGGATGCCTTCTGGCCCGACAGGGAAACGCACCAGCCCTAGGAATCTGCTTTTCTGATCTGGCCCCGGCGCCCAAAATTCAGGAGGCCGAGCTCAGAGAGGAGCCCAAGAGCCGTGGAGGGAATTCTGGCCCCATCCTTTGGCATCCTCCCCTCACAGGGCCCCTGCCCTGCGGTCCTGTGTGAAGTCCTGTCTCCAGCCCTCTAAACGTTGCTTGTACATTTGCAGATTTTTCAATCTATGACACATCTGAGAATTTGCAGATGTGTAGAAGACCTTTTTAAAAAATAAAATCTTCTCCTCATATTATCCTTTAGGGGTTAAGATTAGGTGTTAAAGCTATAGGAATAATGACTCAAGACTTAGAGACCACATTCTTCTAGCAGAATAACAACAACACACCACGGACTGGCTGAGGTGACTGGGAGTGGCCCGTGCACAACAGGAGGTTTGGCAGCACCCCTGGCCTCTACCAGATGGGACGAGCAACAGTGTCTCCAGACATTGCCCACTGTCCCCTGGGAGGGAGGCAGAGTGGCTGGGAGTAGGGAGGAGGATGGAGAGGCGGAGCTAGAAAAGACTTTAGGACCAACTTTCATAGAAACAATTCAACACACGCAGACCTGAAGAGCCCTGGCCGACAGTGAGCGCCTCTGCAGAACCCAGGTCCTTCCCTGTCACATCTCCAGATTCTTTAGGGCAAATAACACCTGGTTTCGATGCTATAGATCTGTCAGTGTTTGGAAATATCGTGAGGTTGGAAAATAGTAGAATCACGCTATTGTTACTGTTGTTAGATTAACGATAAAAAGTGTCCAGATCGGCAGTGTCTGCCGGAGGAGATAGTGAAACAGACCCTTGAGATTCCTTGGATATTATGGGAAATTATTTAGAGTTGTAAAATGGGCAACCCACATCGGGCCCAGGAATGTGTTTGGTTTGCCCCACACAATGTTTCAAACAAATAATTTGAGTCCCCATTTTAAAATTAGGAGACCTCAGCTAAAAACCCTGGTTGTGTCCTCTCTTGAAAGATCAGGTTTGGACCCACATTTCTGCACAGCCTCCGCGAGTGGGAGAGAACCATCCCATAGCACCCATATGCTAGTGTGCCGCAGTCTCCACCTCTCCCTGCTGCCTCCCAGGCACTAAGGCACTTTCTTATACTTAACTCTCTTCCGCACGGAGAGGCATCTTCTGCAGGTGCAGCCTCTGTTATAATGACTCCCTAATCATACCAGCAGGACATTGAAGTGAATCACAGAACCAAGACTTGAGGGGAGCTCCCCATCTCATGCACCTTCCCCCATACGCACATGGGGGCCCTGGCCCGGGAAGGCGGACGGACTTGTCTGAGAACTGTGCTCAGGGGCATCCCTGCCCTCACCACCCTGTTTCCCTCAGGCCATTGCTGACCACTGAATCCCAGGACGCACCTCCGACCACTCTCCTGTGATCCAGATGTACTCGCAGGGCTGCAAACTACAGCTCTCACGGTCCGCAGGCCGCTTGCTGGGGTCGCAGTGCCCGCCGTGCACCTCGCCGCCTTTGTCCTCATCCACACACAGCACCCTGCGGTACCTGGTTCCTTCGCCACAGGTCCTGGTGCACTGCCAAAGACAAGCAAAGGGGGCTGGTGTGCAAGGGTATGGAACAGTGATGTCCTGTTATCATATATGTGATATGCTACCTACTGTGTATAGAAGGAGAGCTGCTTGCTCGTTTCCCTGGCCAGCACCCCTTTAAGACTGAGACCCTGGGATGAGCAGGGGTTACCCGCAGCAGCCGGTGTGCGGCTGCCCGCAGCAGGAATGGGATGGGGATGATGAATTTCAGGTCTGCGAAGACCTGACGGTCTGTTTACTTCGAACACCTACACTGCTCAAATATGGAATGTATTTAAAACAATGGCCAAATGGTTTTCAAACTATTATTTAGTCACTTCCCTGACTCAAGAGGTGACTGAATACTTCTTAAGTCAGGAAAGTCATTACCTGTCCACGCGGCCCATTTCATCTAAAACCAGGACTAAATGGCTCTCTGCGGGTTCCAGCCTCTCTTCCTGGTGGCCCATTGCAGGCAGCAGGGAGGACAAGTTTCATTTCTCACCAGTGACCCCTCCAGGCCTCGAGGAGAGCTCTCCTATGGCCCTACGGCCCTTTCTTCTCCAGGTGACCTGCTCATCTGGTCATTCAGCAAATATTCACCACATTCCTGCTCAGGGCCAGGCCCTGGGCCGGTTCTGGGTGACTGAGAGTGGACAGGGTGGTGCGGCCCCTGCTCTCCCAGAGGAGCGCGTGTATTTCAGTAGCAAAGCCAGGCGTGACCGGCTGAGGGAGCCGGGGAGTGAGCGAGCAGGTGCTATGATCTCCATTTTCAGACGAAGAAACGGGGACCTAGAAAGCCCATATAATTTGCTCCAGGTCACACTTCTCTCTGTGAGGAGGAGGGACTGATCATTGTATTCCCAGGAACCAAGCGAGGAAACAGAGCAGCTGGTATGTGTTGTCCTGGGATGACCTATCTCTATGCTGTCCATTTGAGTTCGGGAGCCAATTTCACTCAAAATTCTTTCCTGAGAAAAATGGACAGATACATGCAAAAGAAGAGAAACCAGACCACTTTCTTACACCAGAATAAACTCCCAGTGGACTAAAAACTTAAACCTAAGACCCCCAAACCATAAAACCCCAGCAGAAAACATAGGCACTAAAATCTCTGACATTTCTCTTAGCAATTTGTTTTCTGATATATCTTCTTGGGCAAGGGAAACAAAAGAAAAAAATACACAAATGGGATTACAACAAACTAAGAAGTTTTTTCCCAGCAAAGGAAACCATCAACAAAACGAAAAGACCAATTACTAACTGGGAAGAGATATTTGCCAATGACACAACTGATAAAGGGTTAATCTTCAAAATTTATAAAGAATTTATACATCTAAACACCAAAAACACACACACACACACACACACACAAGCAATCCAATTAAAAAATGGGCAAAGGACATGAATAGACACTTCTTCAAAGAGGACATACAGATGGTTAATAGACATATGAAAAGATGCTCAATGTCACTAATTATCAGAGAAATGCAAATTAAAACCACAATGAGATATCACCTCACACCTGTCAGAATGGCTACCATCAATAAATCCACAAACAACAACGGCTGGCAAGGATGTGGAGAAAAGGGAACCCTCATGCACTGTTGGTGGGGATTCAGATTGGTGCAGTCACTATAGAAAACAGTGTGGAGTTTCCTCAAAAAATTAAAAATGGAACTGCCTTTTGACCCAGTGATCCCATTTCTGGAAATATATCCTAACAATCCTGAAACACCGATTCCAAAGGATATATGTACCCTTATGTTCATTGCAGTGTTATTTACAGTAGCCAAGATATGGAAGAAACCCAACTGCCCGTCAGCAGACGAGTGGATAAAAACATGGTGGTACATATATTCAATGGAATGTTACTTGGCCATAAAAAGAATGAAACCTTACCACTTGAGAGCATGAACAGACCTAGAGGGCATTATGCCCAGTGAAATGTCAGTCAGAAAAAGACAAATACCATATGATTTCACTTATATGTGGGGTCTAAAGAACAAAATAAACAAACAAAATAGAAACAGATTCATAGATACAGAGAACAGACTGATGGTTGCCAGATGGGAGAAGAGTTGGGCGACTGGGCAAATAAGATGAAGGGATTAATAAGTACTAATTGGTACAAAACAGTCCCGGAGATAGAACGTCCAACATAGGGAATACAGTCAACAATATTGTAATAACAGTGTGTGGTGCCAGGTGGGCACTGGAAATAATGAGGGGAACACTTTGTGAAGTATATGATGGTCTAACCACTATGCTGTACACCTGCAACTAATACAAAATAATATTGAATGTAAACTGTAATTGAAAAATACAATTTAAAATAAAGAAATTCTTTTCTGATATGCTTCTTGCCTCTCTCCCTCTTTCTCTCTCCTTCTCTCCCCTCCCCCTTTCTCTGGTAAAATAAGCATAACACAGCCATCTTAAAGTGTACAATTCAATGTCATTAAGTTACCCATAATGTTGTGCAATAATTACCCTATCTATCCAAAACATTTTTATTGCCCCAAAAGGAAACCCCGAGCCTGAGTCACCCCTCCCCACCCCCACTCTCCTCCCCTACGGCAACCACCGATCTGCTTTCTGGCTCTATGAGTTTGCCTATTCTGGGTATTTCATGTAAATCTAATTATCCAGTATGTGTCCTTTGGTGACTGGCTTCTTTCATTTAGCACAATGTTTTCAAGGTTATTCCATGCTAAGCATGTATCCTGTTTATGGCTGAATCATAGTCCAATGCATGGATATACCATGTTTGGTTCAAATGTTGATGGGTAAATAGGGGTAATTATTGCACAACATTGTGGGCAACTAGATGCTGTGGACATGCACGTACACCTGATTTCAATTCTTTCAGCTGCATTCCTGGGAGCAGAAATGCCGGGCCACATGTCTTCTGTGAGCTGCTTTGCTCTTCAAGATGCAGAAGGGATACATGGTGTGTTCTGGTAGCCCCTTATCATTTGCAAACTTAACTCGAAATTTATTCCTGCTGCTTGGAAGAAAACCTCAATGTCTAGAATGTGAAGTTATTTGTAATTTTTCTGGGGCACAAATATGAATAAAAATTACTATGAGATGAGCACAGAGGAGCAAATGGCTTCCAACCAGTGCGGGGGCTGGTGGGCCCGGGGTCTGGCTCAGTCCTGGTTCGGTGGTTTTGGGGTTTTCTGTGCCCCTGGAGGGTGCTGGGAATGACTGTGAAGTAATAATGTTTTTGTTTCTTCATTTAAGAAATGCCGAATAAGGTAGGGAGCCACCGAATGTTACAAAACACAACAAAAACGTGGTTAATCTGTGATGTGTAGGTATAGGCAGGAGAAATACTTAACTCCCCTCAGAAAAAGCAGTTCCCTAGAAATCAGGACTTGGTGGTCAGAGGATGAGGCTGAGCAGCGGCCTGCCCCAGGCCTCCCGGGCCCCATGCCTTCCCTAATCCGCAGGGCTTTCCTTGTGTCAATGAGTAACAGCTTAGAGCAGCAGCGCAAGGATTACTAAATCCCTTCTGCTAGGTAAGTGTTTCTCTCTTGGTTTTGAAGAATGTGTAACTGCCACCAAAGCTCGTTTGCCAGTGGCGGAAAAGGGAGTTGGAAACCTTACCTTGTGTCGAGGTAAGAACTGCCTAAACCTGTAGAGAATATTAATGAGATTCTTTGAGCCAAACTGACAATTGCCAAGAAGCAAAATCTCAATGGATGGAGAAAATGCTCTGGAGAAGGGCAGTTCTGCAGCTTATTTCATTCATCAGAATGAGAGGGGGAGGCGTAAGGAGGGCTACATGAACCCACTGTGTAGATTAGGGGGGTGGCAGCAAGCAAGGCGGGGAGCCTCGGGGAGAGAGAAAAGGCAAAATGGAGAAACACATGCTTCTTTTACACGGGTGGGTACAGGATAGATCATAATTCAATTCCCAGCGCACAGAGATGGTGTTCGGGGAGCAAGGTAACAGTGAGGGCTCTGTGGTCTCCGCTCTGGCAGGAACGAGGGTGAGCCCTGCAGGCCCGGGAGAAGAGATAAGCTGACATTCCAAGCTCTGTTATCTTAGATGCAGAAAGACCACAGCAGCTCAGTTAACGTAAAGAGTGACCTTTGTCAGGGAGGCTACAGGCCTGGGACGTGACTACCAGCCATGCCTCGCTTTGGGTTCGGAAGTTTTATGTCAGACCACCCCTGTGCTTACTGTAGGTCTCTGAGTTTGTGAGGCCGCGATGCGGGCCTCCCCTGAGCTGTCAGGTGTAGGGTGTGGCCCCCTTTTTGCCCACAATTGAGTATAACTTTTAGAAAAATGAAGGGGAGTAAGTAAGTGAGACGTGCGTGCTCTGGAAGGAGTCTGCAGACACTCCAGAGTCACAGCAGCTTGTCTGCTGGCGCCTGGACCCGAACCAGAGCTGAGGCGGGTGGTCGGAGCACCCCCAGCCCGTGCTTTTGGATGATCAGCCTTGGGTAACACCACTCCCCCTCTGATTTATGAACTCTTTTCTTTCTCCTGGAGAATGATCTAGAATGTCCTGAAAAACAGCTAGAAAGATCCACTAGCCTCATTATAATTCCAAAAGCTTTCCTCAAATTTCATGACAGCTTTTAGGATAAAGTACGCCGAGCGCCTAAGTCACAGCGCCAGCCGCCCGGACGCCCTGCCTCACTGATGCAGACAGCAAGCCACAGCGGCCGGGCTGCCCCGGGGCCGGCCACCGCCTCCCAGGCCGCGTGCCTTCCAATGCACAGAAATAAACGGGGGAACAACTTTCCAAATCCGAGGGCAAGACCTACAATAAATGGTTAAAGTACGATTTTATTTAGCCAGGCAGGTTGGCCACGGGGAAAGGTCTAAGAGGGGTTATTTGACACATTGGGTAGAAACTGTCTTTCTTTAAAGATTGTAATCAAGCTGCTTTCCACTTGATCTCTCTGTGGAGGACAGATCGGTCGCCCGCTCCCAGGGCCCCGCTATCCTTGTCAGACAGCGTGGGCTCAGACCCCCGCCAGACGAC